AGGAACCGGAGATGGCGCCACCACCACTGGAGGCGACCAATGGTAACACGTGCTGGCGAATGCACCTTGGCCTCATTGCTCCCTCCTTTCCCGAGGGTCTGGTGCTGCTACGCTGGACGGAAATACATGACCTTGAAAAGGTGGAGCCGCCACCGCCGCTATCACCATCCCTTGGCTCTAGCATTCTTGGAACTCCCCTATCGTCCCCTGCGGAGGCTCCTCTCAGGGCCCTGAGCCACCGATATCTCCCCGCTCCAGTCGAGGGCACCTCTCTCGACTACGATGCCCCAGGCCGACGCAAATGCAGTGTGAGTGACTTAAAGTCGTGTTGGTCCACGTCCCTGTATCCGAGAGTGATTAGCTAAATTCGGTAATTTTGGTCATCCTAAATTTGTTTGCAATACTACTAAGCATGGAACATCCCCCTTCTCATCGTAGCATTTCGTCTTCTCATGGAACGTCTTTTAGATCCATGCTGCAGTGGACCGGGCAGGTAAACTTGACCCGCCGTGGACCCTCCTAGCTCAGATGGCCAGAGCGTTAGCTATACTCAGGCCTTCCCCTTTTTGTCGCGGGTTCGAATCCCGCCGGGAATGCCGAGTTTTTACAGTTGGATCAAAATAAGTTAGTCAGTCTTACCTATATAGGTAGTTATCCTAACAAAAGGACATGTCAGAGAATTTATTTCATAGTTACATTCGACTCGTTACTCTTAAAAAATGTTTAATGTTCTACTTTCCTCTTCACAGTATATCTTTATGCAAAGGCGACGATTCTTGAAAAGTTTGTATCATAAAGTCATCTCGGAAATTTTTACTTAACTAGACCGGAGGGTTAACTTTCTTTTAAAAGGCGGGCAATAAGCACTCGCGATTATCATTTGATTATGCATGTCTTCTACTGCCCACACTCATCTGCCTAAGGCGCATACAATCTATTCCAGATATGTTACGTTTTCCCCAACTAAACTCGAACCTTAGTTACAGAGGCAGTCTGCGCATTCGTGATTTTTAACTGGACCATCAAAGGACCTTTTCTTGTGAGGAGAACGACCTAGGCACTTTAAGCCTGACTTACTTTGTAAGGCTATGGAATAATAAAGGTAGACATAGGGTACTCTGGCATTGTGGGCGATTAACTTTACTCACGGCTCCCGGCGATGAGCCTCGTAGCTCAGGTGGCTAGGGCGTTGGTTGTCGTGGGTTCGAATCCCACCGAGCTCGCCGAGTTTTACGCAGTCGAGTCAAAATGGATTGAGGATTTATCACATGCGTGACACATGAGAAGGACGGCATGTCTCACTAATCAATTCGTTGATCGCACTTCAGACTGTCTTGATTTTCTCTTGTCTTTAACGTTGCCTGAGAGAGAGCAGAAAGATTGAATGCAAGCCGGCCTGAAATTTTCTTACCTGGAGCGTATTTATGATACTACACGCTCAGTGAATCAGGGGTTCGTGCCGCGACAGCTCCTTCTGAATGTGGCTGTGGCATCATATCTTACAGATAGGAGGTCTGAGTGTGGCTCCTGTCATGAGATAGTGAAGGTGGACGTAGGATGACCTGGCCTGTGGGCGGGAGGCGCTGGCGACCACGAGCTCTTCACCAACGCATTTTGAGTTTAATCAGTAGCTGATGGATTTATGCTGATCCTGAGAAAAGCTTTATTTCTAAAAAATTTACTCTAACAAGTTCGCGCATTAATTAGAAAGGGCACTGTTGATCGGTCCGTTGGGGGTGTCCGCTTTGCACTGAACCTATGGATTTATGCGCCGAGGGTGTCACCACTGTTAGTGGTCCGTGCGTTACAAGCTGACGCGGTCATTTTTCCGCCCAGTTTCACCAGCACCGTCAGTTAATGCGCACCCCCTCCATATATCAATGCACCCTGATGTTTTCGCGGCACATGCTCTCCCATAATATGCTGAAGCGCTTGTGGGCTGCTGTTGGGAGTACATGCACTCCCGAAATCAAGAGTCAGACAATCACTGGAGACCACGCACGATTTCCTCTAGAGCCATGTCAGCATGATCTTGGTGCCTCACCATTGGCTGCCCACCTCGAGCCTGATTGATCCGTGTATTCGAATTATCGATCAGTTTGTCCGGAATTTTCTTCTCGAAGTGCATTGGGCGGAATGCCTTCGAATGCCAGTAGGATGTTATAACTACGCGTTACTTTCCCAGTTTCCTAATACACTTTTCCATGGCCGGCCATGTTCTCCTTCTTTGCTGCGTTGGCATTGGGGAGCGGAGTCGAGTGCGCATACGCTCCGGGTGATTTCATGGTACCAGGCCGGGTCATAACAGCTGCCCAGTTTGTTAAGGCAGCAACAGGGACAATTGCTCAACAGTCAACAGAGCTCTTCTTGGCCGCTGTATAAATTGCACAGCGCTCTTGTACTTTCAAGTTCTCTGTAGTGGATACTTGATCAAACCTCTGGGCAAGTTGTTCGCATCAGATCTGGTAATCTGACCTTGGTTTGTCTAAACTTGCAGAATTTCTCAATGAAGGCCATCTTCCGATCTACAAATACTTCCGACGTAATTGCTCCTCGCACCGGTATGTTGTCCGTTTCGTCCTCAGCTCAAAGAATGTATGATATGGCCTACCAGCGGTCGTTTCTTCTGCCGCTTGTTAAGAAGCTGGTTGAACATTTGAGTTTCTTCGTGTGGAAGGATCTGCATTAGCGAATGCTTGGGAAACAAGTCTTTCTAATCTTATATTACTTATTTTTATTACTCGCTCCTCACAACCAAATTTTCTAAGAATAAAAGCTCGCATTTATGCCCTCTTTTTGGTTCTATTCTCCGTCGATAGCTGACGGAAACAATGGGCATCTGATAAATCGCGAACCGCGTCGGTGACGGCCCTTTCTAATCGAGATTAAAGCGCACGTCCCAGGTTCCGGAACAGTCATCGAAATTGTCTGCGTTTTCGTATTCATGCAGGAGTCCATCATGTGTGGCAGTGGACGCAACCCTAGCGGATGAGTAGAATTTTGCTGTGCCTCGAGGATTGTAAGCCACAAGCCTTCCGATCTGGGCTGATGATCGTCCCATCCGAGAGTAAACGCTACGTATGATACCCGGAAAGCAAATAAGTAGGCTGGTTTAAAGGATTACTATCAGAGATTCCAATGCGCGTTGTTGATGGAGTCCTACATGTATCAGAAGGCACAGACAAGTACACTGACTGAGCTGACGATCGATCCCGCAGAGCTTCAGTTCTGCCGAGGAGCTCACGGATTCAGCAAGTCTATGAATCCCTCATTTATCCCAAGAATTTGCGCGTCGTACCCATCGGCTCGTGAGCCTTATCAAGAACTCAACCGACAACCAGTGCCAGAGAGAAAGAAGCGTTTGGAGTGATTTGCTACTGAAAGACAGACTAGCCAGTGCACTTATTGCGACCGGCAACTGAGGTCGTCGTGCTTTGCGTGACAGATAAAAACAACCGGGAGAGCGCAATGGAAGTAGAATCCTTTCAGGCTACACATGAAGAGTCAAATGTTCAGCCGATGGAATGTCATACAATGACGCCGATAGCTGTTGGGTTATCGCCGTCCACTCCGAGGACAGAAAAAAGAAGGCCAGTTCTCAGAATAATTCGATAAGTCCCTGTCCAGTGAGCAGATCTGAACCATCTTAGAGAGCACATTCTGTTGAAAGATGAGGACACTCAGTAGGCCTAAATGTATATGTTTTTTGTTAATATTCGTACGTCCCACTTGAAAAGTCAGGTTGGCAAAAAGATGTTTTCGGTAATTCATCATCAGTCCCACACAACTACATAGAAAAAGTGAGAAGTTGACAGGGTTTGTGTCACAGGGACTAGTAACACCCATCGCCCTCACGCTGCTGCATGACAAGATCGACACATGGTCGTTGGTGCAAGGCGGGTGACGAAGGTTGAGTGATGTCTGTAAGTCCAGTACTTGGATGCACACCATTGTTATCTGAGGGTTGGGACGACGTGCGATCACCATTCGGAGTCGGCGTTGGACACAGAAAATAGAGAGTCTGCGTCAATGTGTTCCGACGGCATTACGCCGGACTCGCTAGCCGTATAACCACTCACTTGGCTGTAGCTAACATCTGTTGGCGTAGGCCTTCAGAGAAATTTTTTGGTGTCCGGTAGACGATCTGAAATGTTTCTTTGGCATCTATTCGGCGGTTTGTATCAACTGGATGTGTGAGATGGGGACTCGAAATCGATCTCTTTCCACTTGTCTAGCCAGGGCGATATGCGTCCAAGTACCTTCTCTTCCGGACGTCTCGTTGTACGGCTACTGTATCCCGCAAGTAATTGAGTGAAAATCGACGTGGAAGATCCACAGACAGAGTGCGACTCCATCAGATGATCGGGGCCGGGAGAAATAAGCAGTGGTTGACCCCTCTGGGCAGGAGAAGGGAAGACAGTGAGTAGTTGTTTCCTGATATAGAAGGCCCGAGGTAGAAGAAATCGATCTGACGTTTCGGACTCCCGCCGAACCGATCGGCAGAGATAACTGCAGATAAGGGTTGTGGACGCAAGAGGGGTCGCTTTGCAATAGCATTTTTTTGGAGGTCGATTGCGAAGGGTCATACAGGGAGCGATGGTTGGCGGAACGCATCCGAGTGTATTATTGTCGGGACTTTATAATGTCGGTTACTGGCGTTTTAGGCACTGTGCATATTGGGTTTCTAACATTTGGACTGGATGCGGTGCCCACCTCTGAACTCTCCGCTTGGACAACCTATATATTCAGTACTGAATGTGGAAGTGGGGATCATTGCGTCTGCTAACAGACTGCGGGCGGGAGAATCACGACTCATTCGACCCACGATTAACGCAGTTGCCCATCCGCGAGCATTTCGGCCTCATGAAGTTGTCGCTGGGTCCGGTTGAATAGGCTACAGCTTGAGGTTTCGCAGCGACCGCCGCCGCTGTTGCTGCGTGCTCGATCACCCGCGTCGAGAGTAGTCTTCCAGTTTCTCCGTCGCATCTGTTCAGCCTGCAACTGCACCAGACCCAGTATCCGACTGCAGACGTTTCCTATCGTGGCAATGGATCTGTCAGCCTCGTTACTTGGCGCCTGATAGTTGTCCCTGGTCTGTGTGTATTCCCGGCTCCAAGTACACTGAGAAGAGGGCTTCGAAGACGTCCTCGCCGTAGGGTATCGCTGGCCGTAATTTTGGGGCAGTTGCGGTTTGTTTTCTCGTCACGCCTTTGCATAAATCAGTTGAACATATTGCGCCAGCATCCATTCACTCAGAGCACCCGCAGGACCAAGTTGTCGCGCCAGTTGACCATAACTGGTCATTCTCCATTCTTATGTTTGAAGAAATGTCCATCCGCCGAATGCAAATTCAGGCTCCTTTCCAAAATAAACAGGCTACCCACTATCCATTACTGACACCCTGGTCGATGTAAACAAGGACGCATCCAGTCGATGCCGAAGTCATGTGCCGTTGAGGAAGGTGCAATGTGACGGACCAGCCTGCATGATAGGAGAAATCAAAAGTTACACAGACCGCCGTGGGATAGATCTTCTTCGCAGTCCTCAAAGCCATTTTCGATTTTAAACCCAAGGTTTCTGTGTCGCTATCCTGATCAGACGACAGAATTCTACTCATTGAAAAATATGAAGCGCTTGACCGAGTACTTCAGCCGCCCATCTGCAACCTGCGAGGAAGCTATCCAACTGCCTTCCCCCAGTGGCGACTCCGATCACCCATATTCTTTAAGATGGGCAGTAAACATGGCGGAACGGGCAGCCAGTGAAAACGCTCCGGACGTCGAACGACTTCCAGCAGAAGCCAACAAACTTCTCGACGGACTGAGCTCGCTGTTGCGTGAGTTGCGTAGAGAAGAATGCCTCGCGACATTGGACCGACTATCAGCACGAAGAAGAGAGTGATCATGCGCTGGCCGGCGACAATTAAATTTATGACTAGGGGCAGTGGGGCGCCCTTTAAATTGTGGACAAATCTATCTACATGGAAAGGTTATCGTCTATCACCCATTAAAATTCTTAAATTGGCGACCTTTTTACAAGCACCAGTTGTCCTCATTCCCAAACCTCGTCATGGTCAGAAGTTCAGTCCGTCTTAGCACACACTTCTGTCTGTCACTTTCGGCCGGTTAACAGTCGATGAAAGTGCGCTGGTTAGCCTAGTCCTCACTCTTGCGACTTCCACTCACACCGGCTTCCCCTTTGTCCCCTCTCTCGAATATGTAGGTATATACATGAACAAGTTTGTCTAGGGCTTAGATTCCTGCTGCGAACTTCAGGCCGGGTCCCGAGTAGAAAGCGAAGTTAGACGCCGAAGGAGAGGACGCTGTATTCCGAACAGAATGAAGGGGCGATGGGCAGAAACAAGTTATCAGCCGGTAAAGGGACCTAGGTTCGACGTCGCAGAAGCAGACGTCCTAGTGCCTTTGGCAAGGTCGTGTCCGTGTCAGTCGTGAAGTGGGTTAATCGGTATGGAAAACTGTGATTTGTCGAAGACCAGACAGAACTTCCGAATTCAGGGAGTGGTCAGACGTGATAGGAGCAGTACACGGGGCCGCAGGTGCACGTTCAAGCGTGCGCTAGATGCCCAGTGCTGCAGCAGATGCCTGGATGGGATCACTATCAGTTCATTTCAGATTCTCCTCGCCTGACCAAACTCTTATGCATCAAACTCACCACACTTTGCTTATCACATCTGTACCGTTGGTCCTCCTGTCTCTTCCCGACTCCGTTGCCTCGCGGTTGCAAGTCTGACTGTTGCCAAGGCCAAGTTCGGAAGCGTGCTTCAGGTGGACATCGTCTGTTAGTCGGAAAGTGCGTGCACTTAGCCCCTACACATGGTTCACCTGGCTGTCTGGATGACCACAGGACCTTGAATTACGTTATCACCCGTGATCGCTATCCCTAAACCTCAATGGCACTACTCCGCTGTGCAGAGTATCCTGCCCGGGCCGTCAGGACATCATGCCACAAACGCGTGACAAGCGAACGATCAAGGTCATGACCCCCTGTTCACACCCTCCTTGTGCTGATTGGCCACCCATCAGCCTATGACAGTCCCCTTGCCATATACCCGGCCGTTTCCACAAGCCTCCTCACTTGTGCTGTCAATCGTACTCAGTACACGTCCTTTTTCCAATTACCCGTCTGCTTTGCATACATAACACGATGGAGGTAATGTCTGCTGTCTTTACCTGCAGAATCCCGCGTACTCTCTCTCTCTCTCTCGCCCTCATAAAACGCGTCCGATAACTATGTCACCTCTGACTTCTGAGTCCGGAATCTGCGTGTTGTACATCGTCGTACCTCGATATATGGTGGTCCATTCAGAACACCAGCCTTCCTTATTCAGTCTGCGATATACGCAGTCGATGACGACGAAGAATCTTTCACCAGAAGTGAAGCATTTTTGGACACGGCCGCTTCTGGTATTCATTCGGTCGTCCAACTCACCCAGATGACCGGACAGCTGGTGGAGATGCACGACTACGCCAAGCCCTCCCATTTTGTGATTTCATTTTCCCTAGCTTCTCATGCATTTCATCACTCGAACGGGGTCACAGGCAGCCTCTATTTCGCCAGAAACCCAACCAATGAACAAGTTCAGCACACCCCTCCATCTTAACCTAGCGCAGTTAGCACTTGCTGGTATCACAAAGCATTTTGTGTCAAAGTTCATTGCTGCAACTCCCT